TTTCAGACTCAGGACCAGCAGAGCACGGCTTGCTGCGCACATAATAGTCTTCCCACAAACTCCTGGGTCCTGGCTGCAAAGAAGAGAGTTGAGAAGCCATCTCCACCAAGCCTTTTCAAGTCTTGCTGTGGTGCCAGCCAGCACAGGGAAGGAGCGTAGTGTTTAATAACAGCCATGGCACAGGCACCTATGTATTTACCCTTCCATTTCAAGATGGCAAAGCTCCATCACCTCGGGCTAATTGCAGCTGGGACAGTGAGAAGTGGAAAACACTCTCTTGCATCCTGCGTCACTTAAGCCACCCTGTTTTCTTTGCAAAAATTATTTTTAAGCAGTTGCTGCCTTTATAGAGAAAACAAACAAACAAAAAAACCCAAACACCAAAACAAAAGGTGGTATAGTTGTTTGGTTATTTAGTTTTGGTAAATTATGTCTTTTTATTTTGGAGGATACCTCCCAAAAAAGTCTTCTGCTATATAGCTCTCAACCCCTTTATCACAACCTGGTACTTTCTTTTAAATAATTTCCTGTTTTTAACTCATATTTTGTATGTAGATGCTGACTGCTCTTGGGAGAAATACGGTGTAAAGAAAAGGTGAGGGGAAAGGCATCAGAATTTTATTCCTGAAGAGCTGAGCACCCCAAGGCTTATAACAAGAGCTTGTAGCAGTTTATGTCACAAGCAAAAAAACATGTTGGGAAATTTATCAAAGAACGTATCATAAGGTAGGCTATTTAGGGACTGAAATTACACAGGAAGGACTGGCAAGAAAGATGTATGCTCAGGACAAGCACAGTTACAATTAATGCTAAATATAAGGTGTCATCTTTATCCAATACACAACCTGCACTGCCTCGCAAAGGAAAGTGAAGCAATTAGGCCCAAGTAACCAGAATATACGTGGGAGGTGTTTGAAGGCAGAAGATTTTAAACACTGTAATGGGGTTGGGGGGAGGGTTACAATAAGAGGTAATCTTTTCTGATAGGTTAGTTTACATCCTTTGGGAAATGTTTTGGAACCAGACCAGAAAAGTCAGCAAGACCTTAACCAGGACTTGGCTGGGGTGACACCCAAACAAAGGCGAAAAGCAGAGACCCAACCCTGCCTGTGCATGCACAGCCCAGCCCAGCAAGTGATCCCCAGGAACAAAATAAATCACAGGACTGATAGTGTATTTCTGTGTGGATGTGCAGCTGCCTCAGCCCAATTCAAAATCAGGCCTCCCCTTTCTTCTTTCTCTTGTGCCAGTGCTAAGGGTAGAGAGGAAAACCTGACCTGAAACAATAATAACCCCCTTCTCGAGTGGAAACCGGACATCACTCCTCCACCCAAGGGGGGCAGGGCCAGGCAGAAATACTTCCCCCCACCCTGCCTGCCACGTTCTTTCTTCAGTCCTGAAGAGCTGGGTTACCTCTGTGACAGAGAAGGTAGTTTGTTTGCACAGCCCTTTTTACCAGTCTTTGAGGTGAGGCTGTTCAGCCCGAGGGTCAGGGTATATCAAAAGAAACTGAATCATCAGACCTTAGAACAACTCCACATAGGAAATGCGCTTGGTTGAAATGCATTGCTACAAGAACAGGGAGGGGGAGACGGGACACATGCACGCATTGGGAAAGGGTCTCTGTCAGCTTTTGCACAGCTCCTTGCCCCTATTTATCATATCAACACACAGACAACACTTTGTCTTTTAGAGTGAGAGATGTGGGCTAAACACTTCATCACAACAAACTGAAAAATCTCTGCTGCTTTTACTTGGATTTGGGAAATGTTTGCTTGCATTTAAATATAAAACTAAAGATATATTTGTGAACGTAATGTTGCTTTCATGTGGGAGCCTTAGCTGAACACAAAGGATTACATTGTGCAGCTATGAATGAATGGGGCATCTAGGATTAAAGATAGTTTATTTACCCACAAATGAAATAGCAGAGCTGATGGCAGCCTCCGGTACTTTAAAAAAACCCCAACAAACAAACAACAACAATCAACAACTACTTTAGTAAGCATTGGAACTAACAAATTTGCATCTCCTGTCTACTTAGGTATTGTCGATTGACTAGGGTGTCCAAGACGGCATGAACTTCATTTGAAGCTTTTAATACAGATCAGGCACTTAAGACTGTTTTCACTTTTATGGAATATCTGAAATTTAATAAGGCTCACATTGTAAATTTCCCTGTCGGGAACTATGGAAGGGTCTCTTTTGGCTCTCAGGCCATTTATTTTTACAAAAATCTGTAGCGGTGTAATTTCACTTCTGCCAGACTTGTTTGAAATCAGCCAGTGGTGTCAGAAGTTATTAGAGAGATGGACAGACAGACGCAGACACTATGACCATGTAAGCCTCATTTCCAGCAGAAATCAGGCTAAAAGAACCTATATTGAAAGTAATTTTTAAGGGGGACTTGATAGGCAGAGGAGTAGAGCTCTGCAAAGTACCATTTCAAATTTTAAGTGAATTTCACGCTAGGAAAAGCTATTGATGGCAGTCTGGAATACTAAAATCCTCCTTTCTGTAAGAGAAACAGCACAGGATGAGCTCTGGTGCTCCACCTCATCCTTGGGTTTTGAAGCCAGCAGACACCGAGTACGGGTGATTGCTTAAAGAGGGGAGACAAAGAGCAGCTCCAGCAACTCCTTGCTCATCCTCGCCAGCCGTGTCCCTGGGCTGCGAGGCGGGAGCGCTGCTCTTCGCGCTTTGCCCACGAGGGCCCTTAGCAGCTGCTGCACACCACGCAGAAGCCGCGATGCAACATCACAGCCCCCATGTCTCTCTGCTGGGACGCGTGTATCGAAGCCGGGGTTAGTTATTCACGCTCCCAGCCGCAGACCTGGGAGCAGGGCTGGTTTTATTCCCGGCTCTGACACCCGCCGGCTGAGCGGCCTCGGGCGAACCGGCTGTGTCCTTTGTAAA